CCCCCTGCTCAGCATCTGGCTCCTGAGGTGCTGGTGAATGTTGGTTAAATGACTTTGTCTCCAAACGCAAAGCATGAACAGACAGGCGTGTAACTAATGCTCAGAACAAGTGAGTTTCTCTTAGTGCGGAGGCGAATGAATGTGGGGTAAGGCATTTCTGCAGTTTGTATGGAGGTCTCTGCATGGGACAGAGTCTGTGTCACTTCAGCAAAGGTGTGTGCCGGTGGGGACGCACGGCACAGAGAAGGGAGCAGTGTGGGAAGACCGGTCCCAGCCGGGTGGTCAGACAGCAGTCTGGCTTTGAGGTCAGAGCAGTGTTCCTGACTCAGGTCAGCCTACTTCCTGCCAGGGGCCACTGAGCCAGCTGCAGAATCTCTGCCCAGAGCCCTGGCCCATGTCCATGTTGAAGGTGGATTTGGGGGGCCAGGGCCTTTTACAAGTCCCACCCTGGGCCACATGACCATTCTCTGTGTGCTACAGGGGCTCACCTTGCACTTGGCCTCCTTGCCCTGGCCCTGGCCATCTCCCTTCCCCACACCACTCTGCGAATGTGAGCTGTATTCCTCCTCTCCTTCTCCAATACAAACTCATTGGCCTGCAACCATCCTGGCCTCCTCCCTACTCCTGCCATGGGGAGAGTGGCTCTTAGGGGAGTTTGAGCTTTCCCATCCCCAAGACTCCCCATAGACCCAGAGCCCTGTCCTGTTCCTGCCCCGCCCTCGGTGTTCACCTACAGCCCGGGTTTTGCTTTGCTTTTTATTTTCTATTGAGAAATATGTACTTACCGAGTACAGAAAACATGTACACACAATTTTTTAAAAGAGATTTTTGTTATGGGGCGTGTGTGCTCGAAGAGACAGACAGATATACAAGACAGACATACAGAAAGCAGGAAATCACCCCGCAGGGAGTATGGCCATGCCGCAATCCCTTCTTCTCCATTCTCCTCTTGGGATCTTGGGCACATGCACCCGGCATGAGTTTGAAGCCATCCGGTCCTGGACTCGAAGTGCAGTCGACCACGTGGGAGTCCGGTGATGTGACCATTTCGCCATCTGCTGGTCCCCATGAACATACAATGTAAAGCGGTATCCCCAGTATGCCCTGTTCTGATCCCACCCACCCCGGTAGCTCTCCTCTCAGGGGTGACTGTTATGCGGAATCCTGTGTCCATCGGCCCTCGCTGCTCTCCCAAACAGTGTGTTGTTTAGTAGCAAAGGCTTTGGGGTTTTATATTAATAGAGCCATCATTCTGCATTTACTTCTCAACCTTACATCTAACTAATTTAATAAACTCATTCTTTAATTCTATTTCTTCTATCAACTTTTAATTTAATTGCTGGAGGGCACAAGTGCTTGCCAGAGAGAGAAAGACAGAAAGCACCCCTAATGGGGCATGGTTATGCCACAATTACTTTTTCCTCATTTCTCTATCTTTTTGGGATTTTTAGGTATGCATATTCAGGCATCTGGTATGTTTTTCTTTTCTTTTTTTTTTTTTTAAAGAAGTATTAATTTAATTTAATTTTTAATTTTGACCAGAGAGGGACAGAATGCATGCACATGTGAGAGAGACAAAGAGAGAGAGAGAGAGAGCGAGAGAGAGGAGAAAGGAAACAAATGAGAAAGGGAGTCGCTAGGTCTGGGACTTGAACTGTGGCCAGCCATGTGGGAGTCCAGTGCCCTTAACCACCACACCACCTGCCAGCCCTCCTCTGATGTTTTTCAAGTCACTGAGGCCAGGATTCAAACTGTGGTTGGCCCTGTGGTATCTGGCTTCCATAACCATCAGGTTATGGGGCTGACTCCAACCTTATAATTTAGAGAGTCATCCATGTGTATGTTTGCTGTACCCACTCATTTAAAAATATTTATTTAATTTAATTTATTATTATCATTTTTCAAGTTGATGAAAGAGAGAGATAGAGAGAGGGGGGGAGAGATAAAGTGAGAAGGCAGATCTGGGACTCAAACTACGATTGACCATGTGGGAGTCCAGCACCTCAACCACCATGCCACCTGCCAGTCCCTAGCATTTTTGTTGCTGGGTAATATTCCACTAATGGATATAGCACAAGTGATGTAGTCGTCATATTGATGATAGTTGAATTATTTCTAGTTTACAGCTTTCGTGGACATATCTGTGTACATTCTTTTATTATTACGATTTTTAGGTTTTTGCTATATGGTGCATGTGGTTGCTGGAGAGAGACAGAGAGAGAGGGTCGGCCATGTGGAGTCCAGTGATGAAACTGCAATGCCATCTGCTGGTTTGTGTGATGAGATATCCTTTGCAAGTAACTTGGCGCTTTTCTCTAGCCATTTGAGGATTTTGTCTTTAGTTTTGACTTTTGACATTTTGTCTATACTATGCCTTGGAGAGGATCTTATATA